CTATCTGTGGAATTAGATCAAAGGAATAAAAGCAGAATTCTCTCCTCTATTTACACATATTTTCTCACCAAGATAACCTAGGGTCTACATTTCAGGCAGATTTTAATCGAGCATCTCCTTAAGAGGACAGCTAGCATCACTCTTGTGACTATAATTTGTCATTCATTAAGTTGTCCTCACAATTATGAGCATCTCAATATATTATAAAATATTCTTCTATAAACAGGGGGAGCAGGAATGAACATATTTCAGTGTGGTGTGTGTGCTTTTTGGAGATGGGTGTGAAAGGAGGAAGGACCAGGTATTGTGAATCCATGTCATTTCATTAGCTGCGTCTGAAATAACCACATTCTTCCTACCTCACAAAATGGGCTGGCCAGTTAATGTTGTTTTGGTCGTTAGTGTCCATGAAACCCCTAGAGCTCCTTGGAAGAAAGGTGTAGCTTCACTGTAAAAAATGGAGTCATTCTGAGCTGTCTACCGATCTTCTCTTGGGAAGAAAATTGCTGGGGATGTTTAGCTGCTCGTTAGGGCCTTCACCAATGATAAGATAATATCTTGTTTCATTGCAGTCTGCTTGGTATGTGTGAGTCAGCAGATTCCTAGGGGAAAGCCAGGTACCTCGGTTAATTGCCACTTTTTTTCCCCCCTCTCACCCAAAGAGATTTTGTTTTCTTAGGTCGGATGTCTGCAAATTGAAGTTTGAAGGGAAGACATTTTACGTGATCGGCGCCCAGAAGGAGGTCAGATACTGCTTTTCTAACCTATCTGTTATCGTGTGTGTGTGTGCACGTGCATGAGAGAGGTTCAAGTATAACATGTGCCGATAGCATTGTAACCTCAAAAGACTATGACTTTAAGTTGGTGGTGAAAATGGAAGCTATATGCTGAGAACATTTTAAACAAATAAACACTGGGTTTGCACATTTAAGAATAAAGTCAGTTAACAATGCTGACTGTATACCCCTATGTGAAAAATACATTGGGTAGATTTGGGAAATAGAAACTGGGACCTCCCCTACCTCTGTAACTGGCAAAAATACAGATATATGAAACATATGAAGAATACTTGCAAAGCTACATATCAGTGCTGGTTAGAGTTTTATACACAGAGTCTATAAGATCCAAGGACCTTAAAATAAAGGAGTTATCAGATATAGGTTGAGTTAACCAGGGAATGCATTTGGGAGGAGGCCTTTGCTTCAACTTTGAGNGGGCAGCTGGCAAATCAGCCTTTTAAACAAGTTCCCAAGGTGATGCTTGTGTACACATTTTCCAGAAATGTTTGATGAAAGGATCTGCTTTCCATATTTTAATCTATGCATCAACCAGACACTAACTTGAATCTTAAACTGAGCATTTACATCAGCCAGGCTCTTAAAGGGAAGCTTTTGAGTCATACTGGAACATTACTTTACTCAGATGGGACCAGATCATAGTATTTGGTCAAGTACCATTCCTGTAACTCTCAGCTCAGGCTCCTCACTGTAGGCATGTGGGGAGATTCCTAAACTCGTGCCCGGTTCCGTCATATCTGTTGGGGTGCAGACCCAGCTCTTCAGATGAACAAAGGCTGAGAGCTGATGGTAATTGTCCACACTGGCCCATGTTTCTTGTGGTCTGCCCACACAATTATTTAAAAATATTTGCTAGCTACTTCTTCCTAGTCATGGTATAAATCACATTACTCCATTTAGTGAATTGGAGTTCATCCACAAATGTGAGCTTCTCTGTTGATTTTATATTTTTACTAGGAGGCTGACTAGATTTTTGTTGTTCCTTTGATTTTACTTAATGCTTAGTTTTCCTGGTTGAGGCTGGAAGCAAAGTAGGCATTTCTGGATGTATCTATATTAAAATTGCCAGAAATCCTGTGTGGGGTTGAATCAAGCTAGATTAGATGCTCAGGGCTTTGGTTTCATGGCATCTTTGGTTTCAGGGCTAATGACAACCGAAAACAGTTTGTTCACATTACAGGGCAGATCTGAGAACTCAGGTGGCCCCAGAAGACATTTGGAAGTGGACGTAGTGGTTCGGGACTAACCTGTACTTTCCCAGGAGGTTCATGGAGAAGCAGGCCTGTTCCTCAAAGGGAACAGCTACCTTTTCCTGGACGTTGCCCTGATTTTAGAAGTGTTATCCTTGGGTGTCCGATCTCAGAAACTTAGTTTATTGTGTAGTCATTAGAATTAACCCAAAATGAACTGAGGGTAAGGACGAATATGCATACCATGTATCATTTATTGTATATTCTTCAATCCAAATATGTTTTTACTTCTATTTGTTTTGCAGGATTCAACAGGTACAACAACGTTTTTGGGATTCACTGCTGCAGGCTTTGTGGTATTCCAGGGAAATAAGAGAATCCATTTGATA